CATATAATTTTTCAATATACTTAACATATTTTAACGTTCATTCCTCATCAATGTTTTTTACATGACTTTATTAAGAAAAAATTGGTTAGAAGTATTATGATAGATCATACACTTATTTTTAATGTGAGTAGAACAACAAGTACCAATCGTACAACTAGTGATACTGTTTTAAATAAAATAACTAATAGACCATAGCTTCTACAGAAAGACATAATAGTTTAAACGTTGCCCATCACATTTCCGTAAATGTTAATATGGTATTCATTAAAAATGAACAATACTCTAGTCGTTTATAAATGTGTAATATGTGTTTGAAAGTAATGTCAAAAAAATAATGAGAGACATCCTCGCCAAAATAGTATTGTGTTAATGAGTCAATCACTAGTAAATAAAAACAGCTTCTAAAACTTTGTAACTGTCCTAAGTCAGGGTTTTCTTCATTTTGTTAAAAAAAGAAAGGAATTTCTAGTCATAACCTTTATTGCTTAACTATAATAAACGTTTCCACTTACTTTTATACTAAAGAAATTTCTGTCAAGGTGAACCACAGTTTAATGACTTTTTTTCAAATTATTCCTATAAGGAAAAACAGTGGAGAATAAACTGTTTTCTAAGTACCTAACTGTATATTCATTAAAAGCTACAGATGGATCAAAACAACTTTCACTGATCCCTTGTACAATTTGAAACATTCTATGAAACATTTTGCATATTAAAGTTATTTACATTTATTACTCAAGTTATTTGTGATATATAGCTCATAGGTGATGTATACATTCATCAAATTAGCCTGTTTATTACTAAAGATATAATTCAAAACAGGGAAATATTTATTATAATTATGAAAACAATTCGGCTGACGAATATAATTTATTAAATCATACATCAAAATGTTTGATACGTTAGATTTGTTGTATATGCACATCAAACCATGCACGTTTCGATAGAAATATAATCACTTTTTGTGAGTAAATAATCAAGCCAAGAGATAGTTACCATTTATATAATAATTCTTTCTTGGTAAATAAAACCAACTATATTGAAAAATAGCTACTGTTTAGTTTTTGTATAGTTTGATGCACTGCCAAGTACGCGTGTCTGTAATAAAGGTTTAACAATCAGTTTTAATCGATTTAAGATGAAATTCCATAGCCAATATTTGTATTTATATAGTACATAGAAAATGCCAGTTTTATACATTTTAATCTGTGGATATATAAATATGCGGCGTAATCAAGATTTATTGTATTATTATGCAAACGGGTGTTTATGAATACTTGATTTATTGAAGATAATATCGCATCAAATCATTATCAACTGTAGAAGTATTAAAAATTATAAAGAACTAAATAACTAATTTATCTTCACTGAACATTCATTTTAACTCATAGAAACGGTTTCATATAGAAATTTGTAAATTGACCAATCAGTCTACTATCATCAATAACGACGAATGATTTTCTTCTAAACCTACAACTTGAGTAAAGTTGAAAGATGTATGCAGGCGCATTAGATTTCAATAGATTAACCGTGTTGTGTTTACCATAAAACTTGAATGTTCTTATCTGAACAAATGTATAAATTCCTAAACATTTTACAGACTAAAATGAGGCAACTGTTTATTAGCTTTTTACACTGTAGTTTATATTTGATATAGGACTCCTTAACATATGTATTACACACTATATGTAACATTTTAAGTATACAATTAGTGATCGTTTACATTAAAAAATGGACTATATTTAAGAAATGATACATATTACATCTCAACTATTGGAACTACTACAAATTCCACAAAACCCCTTCTGATACTAATCAACATATGCTTACTAGTGATTGGCTTCAAGATATATATCCTGGAGTTCTAGTGAGAAGCAGTGAACAGTGGAGTTCAACCGGGTCAGTAGTGAGATGGTAACTAACTACTGACAATGGTAGATGTGTCGCTCAATTTCGTGGATTAATTAAAGTTTGACGTTAACACCGTTGGATGCCGGCTTAGTGGTCTAGTGGTTAAGCGCTCCCGCGCGAGACCGATAAGTCCTGGGTTCGAATCCCGCGAGTGGGCTCCTGGATGCGCATTTCTGAGGAGTCTCATACTAGGGCGAAATGGCCGTTCAGTACTTCCAGAATTTTCATGGTGATCTATCTTCAACTGACTCTTGATCTTAACTATTGAAATCACTACAATCTCCACAAAACCCCTTCTAACACATATTACATACTTTAAATCATAGAGAATTTATTTCATTTTTTTTTCTATCGAATTAAATTTACATAGAGCTTATCCTTTCACATAAACAAACACTTGAATTAAGCTTATTAATAAACTTATCAACATAAAAGTGTTTGATACATATTATTGTCTAAACTTTACAGCTTATAGAGAACAGTTGATTTCATACAAATAAATGAAAGAAAATAAAGAATTAATTCGGTTAATACTTTAAATAATAAACAAAAGGAAAATCATCGGACAATCGATTAACTAGTTTATAATAGAACTCATACACAATGTATGTATCAAACGGTAATAGATTGAATATGATTGATACTAAAATAAATAACAAGCAAGCTAATAAATTATAGAAAGTAATATATTTAATCTTAATAATTCATTAGGGAATATAAAAAGTCATTCTTAAAAATAAACAAAATGACAATTCGACTTGTAATTTACACAATAAGATGATCTGTTTATGTTTTATATTGATAGACGATATTTATTTTTTCTTATCAGTTACCATGAGAAACTATAGATGAGAACATTAGATTTGAAAAGGTTTCTAGTGTAATTCAATAAACAGTAACCTAAAGTTTATTATCAACTTAAGTAGATATGGATCACAAGACTTTCTTATTAAATACTTAAATTGTACTTAAAACTATAAGAGAAAATATTTATTTTAGTAGAATTATTACCAAGATAGATGGAAGATAGATTATTGTTTTAAAAAATTCAGTATGGTTTTGATAATATACTAACCAATGACAATTTGAGGGTATGAATGTATTATCGAATCTCTTTATGATATTTTATTTGACCCAGTAAATTATTTTTGCTGGTTATGATTGAATGAAAAGATTAGATATAATTGGAAGTAATTTTTTAATAGATGAATTCATGAGTTAATTGAAGATAGATCACTATGAAAAACTTGAAAGTACTGAACGGCTGTTTCGTCCTAGTATAGGACTCCTCAGAAGTGCGTATCTACGACACCGCCCCTGAAAGATTCGAACTTTGGACCTATCAGTCTTGCACTCGAGTGCTTAACTTTTAGATTACTGAGCCGGCATTCAATGGTGTTAATGTCTAACTCCAACTAGTCCACAAGAGTTCTCTCTCATTATAACTGTAAGTGTTTGATTTAAGCAGTCATAAATTTAGGATTTTTTTCGTTTAGAGTACTCAAATAATGATAAGTTAGTCATCGCGTTCTTAGCATTGCTTATCTAGATTCCATATATAAAGAAAGAATAATAGTGATTCATTTATTTAACTTCATAAGGATCCTAAGTACTATTTTTCTAACTTTCTAAAAACATCACATCCTATTGTTTGTTAATGGGTAATATAAGAAATTAAATTGGAAAACCTCTAAAAGTGTATAGTTTTTCTAGGTTATTTTACGTAAAATAGAATAAATTGTTTTGTTGAAATCGCATTATAGAAATAGGGTGAATGTTTAATTGTCATATTAAAAACGAATACCACAAACAAAACATGGACATGAAGCAAATGAAATTATAGCATGGTAAGATAATTATTTCCAGCTTATTTAGTTAGAATCACAAAAATGATAAACTGGGTATGAAATATGTCCATTCTTCAGGAAAAAAAATATTTATGCAAAAAAATCGAACAGCTAAAAACACCAGTAAGTAATAATATAATAATATAGTTTTAGGCTTTCTGTCAATTCAATGATGTAACAATGGGTAATTAATGTTTTATTGGAGAAGACAGTCATACCACATTAATATGATAAGATGAGTTTACCGCCGAAATGAGGTTAATCAGTAAAAGTTACTGAAAATCCTGAATAGTTCAAGCAAAGGTGTTTCTTTTGCTTGATTATACTCAACTGTATTATTATCTTAAGTATAAAAAACTTCTGAAATACATGAACTTTCTAACAGTTTTGTACTTCTTTAGATGATCTGAAATTTGTTTTTGAGGACACATCGATGCACTACAATATTCACATTAGCGTTGTGTGAACATTATATACGGTTTGAAGATAAGTAGTATCTGGAGGTTATTACAGTTGTATAGTTCAACGATAAGCTGAATTCACAACAATCTAGATAAGTATTTAAAAACAAATATCAAAATTGTTTATCGATTATACAAGTACTAAATTTCACGTGTTGCCATTATTCTACTGGTTACTTCATTGATTCTACCATTGACTATAACTTGGAAAGCATATTTCTTGAACCTTATTACATGAGTAGAAGATCTATAAAATCATGTAGTATATATATAATAAATTACTTTGTTTAAAAATTGACATTTGCCAAATATTCCCAAGTGTTTTGATAACGTTTATAACTTTTAAAACCTCTCTAATGAAATTAGAGGTTATAACGATTGAAAGTGCTACAAAATTTATTGATGAATTGGTTGAAATTTAAATTCAGAACCACTTGAAGTAAACCCAGTAGCTGAAAATGGAATGTACTATCTGTAAAGATTTAGAGTTCTGTGTTTGATTTTATAAGTTAATGTATGTTTAGAGTTATATCTCCAAAAATGTTTGCAATCCTTTTTAACCGATAGTATGCTTGGTGATTAAAAAACCTTACAGGAAATCAATGACTCCAGCTAGTTGTAGAAACCTAAGGAAATGGAATTTTTCTTATTATATAAAATAACAAAGTAAGTCGCTTTTCATGAAATAAATAAGTTTTTTTCTGATAGAAAAATACTTTTACTTCATCATAACAAAAAAAATTTAAATCAGAACCATAAAATAAATAAAACGTTAACTCACTGAGAACAGTTTTTCACTATCATTTGACATTGGTGTTTCCATCTTGACGACTTCCGATGCACTACTATCCATTCCCATACAAATCAGTCAAAATATAAAACCGGTCACAAAATATCAACTGATTGTTTGATTAAAAACTACTAAAGTTTATAAACTGGACGATCAATATGCCTATTTCTCTCATACACTCACAATCGAAAATTATCTATACGTAAATTTACATAACTAATTCTAGAGTATGGGAACCTATTTGCCTGTGTTCAGTGTTGTGTCTTTCATACTATCACCTCATGAAATAAATCGTAAATAAAACTCTTGGTAAGAACAGCCAATCGAATCACTATAGTGGGGGTGGGATGAGTATACAAAATACTGATTAGTTGTTATTTAGGCTAAAAGAATTTTTGACTCAACTAATGTATTTTTCATAAAGCACATTTAAGTGGTGTTTAAACCTATATATGTCTGTTATGTATATTTGGCTTTGGTTAGCACAACAGAGTAATATACAGAGTAATGTACATAGGAAATTAATAATATGTTATGCTATATACCCATAAAATGTTTTAATTTTATGTACTTCGAAAATGTAAAGCAATCGAAAGTTTAGGGTGTAACACGTTTTCTTCGACTAGATCCCAAATATTATACTGGTTTGTATAATTTGTACAAACATAACATTAAATTGAGCTTTAACATGTAAATAAACCAACAACACTGTATACGATTGGTCAGGATTAATAGGTTTGTTTCAATGATATACGTGGATCATCTGTTTGATACTTCGGTACTTTAATATCTATCAGATAAGATGCATTTATAATGGTTAACAGGTAAGGGCTGGAAACTTTCTAAAAGTTAAAAAGGAATTTTCTAATTTAGCAGTAACATTAGTTTAGGATTTTGAGTTACTTTTTCTGTATGGGTATAAATTACGTATAACAGGTGGATTAATTTTTTAAACAAACTTCAACTAGCTTTAAAAAACTTGTATTGTGGCTGATGCATGAAAATCACATCATATAGTTTAAATTAAAAATAAATAAGAGTCTTAAGGCTAAGACTTTGGTTTTGCACGGTAATATCATTTACCTGGATAACTCATATTCAATTCCTGTCAACACATGTTTTTCTAGGATAAAATTACCGCTTTCATACTGATCAGTTAGAGTCACTTTATTTTATTAATTACAGTACAGGTTATTTAGAACTGGAAGTTTTAATTTATCGTCACTGATACAGAGAAAAATATTTATACACAGAACTGTTGATGATGTCTTCTTTAGTTTTGTGGCTTAATAAATTGATCTCATTCGTCATGTAAAAATCAATGACCCTCACTTTCGACATAGTATATTTTCGTTACTGGATATGTATATAAAAGTAAAGGTGAGTGAATTTATCGGGAACTAACTGTAAATATTTGTTTTGTAAAATCTACACAATCATCAGAACTATTCAAAGTGCTTTTAATATATATTATGTGAACAGTATTTGGGTCTAAGACAAGAGTCTCGTCCTATTTGTTAGCTTGATATACCTGAATTCCAATGTTGATGTTCACTCAAACCCAGTATTTTTCACTTCTAATAAAAACATATTATTTACTGAACTACTGAATTCATGTAGCAATAAACTTATTCAGTAGATATGAAAGTATTAGTATGAGTTTGATCAATTGCAGTCCTGTAAGTTAACAAAGTGCGATTAAAAACCTTTACTTATTTTTAAACGATTAAAGATTATTATTAGTACAGAGTGTAAACTTCAAGTTTTCCTCTGTTCAATATTTATCACCTACGTTTTCTAATTAATAACTGCCTATTTATTTAAATGATTTTTTAACGATATGTTATTTGATAAAACATTATGACCGGGATATTTTGCATAATTTATTTTATCAAGGTGTAAGTTATTGATTATTATTATTGTCAATTATTTACTTATAATTAAGTTTTATTTGGTATTGTATTAAATTTGTCTTAGTAATTAAGTTGTAGTACCTACTAAATAACATACTGATAATTCACAATTCAACTTCAACGTATTATGTCATCATTATCCAGAACAACAAGTTTTAAAAATAATAATTAATTTCTTTTCTTGTTGTTTCGTTTGTACTATTTTGTTAGGGACGTTAGATCCTCAGAACTCACTTGGAAAGGGACCTAGTTTTGTAATTTTATTTAGAAAATTTGAACTCTTTTGTTCTCACGCCAAAAGCTCTCTTTTCACCTTCATATCGTATTTCCCACTTGGGGGAATCTTAAATTCTATTGGTCTGTTGTGTCTTTTAGTATACTATTTTGTAACTCTCCACAAGGACGGTTTTGTGCTGTATATACATATTTTGATTTGTGTTTGTTGTTATCGCTCGTTTTCCGGCTGTTTGCGGAATATACTTCCTCATTTCAAGCTTGAACTTCTTCCTATAGTTAGAGGGCCTGGGGAGCATCGAATAGCTAGCTCCTTGGTCTTTGGTCACCGAGTCTTTGTTTCCGTTCGCAGTCTAAGTGAACTCGTAACCACTTCAAACCTAGCATATTTAAACTTGGATTAATTTTGATTTGGTTATTTATTTATTCTCTGAAGAAGTGGCTTTCTCGAAGTCTCGAAACGTCAGAAAATCCAATTTTTCTACTTAGTTGGATATTACAAATCTATTAATTAATTAATAACAATCGACCCAATGCTCAATTTATTTGAAATTATCAAATCAAACCTTGGCAATGATACCTACATATTGGATTAATTTTGAGTTAGTTATTTATTCTCTGAAGAAGTGGTTTACACTAAGTCGCGAAACGTCTGAAAGTCTTTTTTTTCACTTATTGGGATACTACAAATATGTTATTTATAATAATCAGTTTGTTTAATACTACATACTTAATTATAAAGAAGATTATTCCGAACAAAACATGAAACATATAACTTGTGAATGACTCAAAGTCTATGTATAAAAGGGTATAAATATTTAATTTAATGATCATATGGACCTTTAATTTACTTGTTTTTCTCTACGGACTACAAAATTTGAACATGTAAAGTTGAATATTGTCATTCAGATTTCGTTCCAGGATGATGATTTAGAGTTGTTATTGTCTGAGAAGAAGTATTTTTAAAAACCCTCAGACAGCATGTAGTTGTGTAAATATATTTATTGATCATTTACTTTTCATACAGGAAAAATCGATAAGTGCTTCGTGGTTCAGAAATCGGAATATGATATTTTTTGCTATAGTGTACTAATATATTGACATCATACAAGATAAAATGTTTTATTTTACGTCCGTTTACCATCAAGTAATGTACTACTTAATCGATAGTTTCTGATCAAAAATAAATAAATAAACAAACCAATAAATCTATAAATTTTCATCTGATCTATAATATTAAGACTACAAACCTTTTAATGCCCCCAAATGCCCTGGTATGGCCGAGAGTAGGGAGAGTCCGCTCTTCCTCTCGAAATGCTCCCACATGGCCACGGAAGTCCTACTCCCTGCCTTCTCGTGACAGGGGTGTTGTTTACGAAGTTGAGAGGACGAAACGCGAATGTCCGGCGCTTTAACCGGGTTGGTGAACATGGGGAATCCACCTAGGGGGTTGGAAAACCCTGATTCCAAACCAATGGTGCACATGGGCTCCAGTATCCTGCGGGAACAAGTGGCGTATGGACCAATTGTTGGTCACCGGCTTCCATGGGACTGCATCTCCTTACGATGCTCCACTGCCTTGTGGATCAGACCTTCAGGTCGAAGACTCCGGGTGTGGCCCCCTAAGAAAACCACCTGCTTCGGTTTGGGCACTCGGGCAGTATCACAGCCCTCACACATATCAAATGAGATTTATGTGGCGGATATGTATTTGGGACCCCTCTTACCACTATCTATGTGTTAAAATAAATAAATAGATAAAAGTCATTTTACTATTTTCTAGGATATGTTCATTAGTAAAAGAAAGAGATTAGGCAATGTTGTTTTTAAATTTAGGCATTAAATTAATTATTTTACTCAAAGCATATTGGTGCAAGTACAACGAATTCTTATACATGTTTTTATTGTTTCTAACACTTTTATTATGTATTACACTTTAAGAATCGTATAAGTTTACGTAAGTTAACATTGTGACTATCAGTGTTTTTAATAGGATCATAATTTAGATCGTCTAGTAGTAAGAGCATTTAGTTATACATTAATAGATAATGGGTTCAAGTTCACTCTTTTGGTTTGGCAAGCCTTGCGGTTATGATACTCGCCCCTACATACATAAATCTGTATTTAGTGACTGGGTTATGTCAAGGTTAAACTGTAGAAAGCTTTATTTTAAAAATTAGTTCTTCATGTCACATTTTTTCCGATGAGGACTAATGAAGCTGGAAACTAGGATATTTTTGTTTTCTAACATTTATCAGTTATATTTGTACTCTTAAAGTAACTCATAGTATATGAGATTTTAAGGCTAATTTCAAAAGTCAATTTGTAGTGCATAATGTTCAAGTTTAAGATAACTCTTAGAATCCATGCATAATTACATATATTGTTCATGTCAAGCAATAAGTGTTAAACTTTTCCAAGATTTACCTTCCGAAGGCCAATTAAAATTTGCTAATATTGTAACATATTGAAATCGAATGAAACCTCTTTAGCTAGATTTTTATCGAGGACGACTATAAAATAATAAAAAAATTCCGGTATCATTTACTTATTTCATGATTCTAATCATCATACATTAATATTTCATGAAATAAATCTGGTAAAAGGAGAGAGAAAATCTACCACAATCTTTGTCAAGCAACAATAAGTTTTTAACAGTCAAAATCTTCGTTTTAGGTTACTCTTTTGTGTAAGTTATTGAATACAATTTTAATATAATTGAGTATATTGGTATACTAAAAATGACAAATTGCACTAAACAACTTTTGATACATCTCAGTTTACTTGTGACATAATAAGCAATTGATCGAAGTTAATGAAATGAAATGACAGATTGATATGAACTCTTCTGTGAACTGATATTAGGTGAAACACATGTAACTTGTTTACACTATTAGTTATATCGTATGTACTGATAAAAAATTAACCTTGGCATATCATTCACGTACATTCTATACATAAATGAGCTTCTAAGTATGGATATATATTTATCCATTTTCGAATCTTATTTATATGTTTTTGAATTATATACTAGTTCATTTAAAGACTTGCACTGGG